TATCATGTCAGTATGTTTGTATATCATGTCAGTATGTTTGTATATCAAGTCAGATGTTCCACGTGTCACTCCCCCCCCCCCCCCCTCTTGTATTCGGACCACGGTGAAGAGTATAGTATCCACATCACACAACACCCACATAATCTACAGTTATATGATCTTTGATGCCCAAATAATCAATGTTATCAATAAATGAAATGAAAGCATGTGAAAAGAGGTTAGTTATAGGGACAAACTTATAGATAATGATTACCAAAGTCTGCAATTATATTGAGCCGCATTTTTAGCATCTTTTGAGTGAATAAATTAGCTTTTACAGCACATTTACTATTGAACACTGCCATTAAAGCCAAAGCTCCAATAAATCAACTTTATGCTTCCTGCCCAGCAGCAACACAGCAGACCAACAGAGGAATCAGTGAAGAGCAAACCAGAGCTGCTGGATCATCTGTGAGGTGTCTGCAAACGATAAATGCTACATTAATACCGCCTCCACTGGATACAAGATTGTATCCAGTGGTGTACCTCTGGTGTACCTGCCTGTCTGGGCGTCTCCTCCTCTCCCTGAATGCATCACCTTATCAGCATGGAGACCTCCTTAGAAACAGCTGCTCCACAGTGTCTGGCTCATCTCGCTGTGTGCTGCTGCCACCTAGTGGAAAGCCCTGCACATGACGGCTAAATTGTCGTGTAAGTTTTTGTCACATTTGACAGTTCCAGAGAGGCCGTTAAAGCCCTGCTCAGGTCACTTTTAATGGATGGTGTGGGGCTTTTCAAAATAATAGACTTCTTGCATGCTGGCTTGTTCAACGACACTGAGGAGAGACAACCACAAACCCCCAATCTTTTCTTTTTCCTGCATTCCTCTCCTTTTCTTTCAGGTCCTAAATCATTGCTTTCTTGTTAGTCATAGTTTATAGTTTCTAATCTTTTCCTGTGGTTGATCTATATTGGGGTTTTTTTGGTCAGATTCCCTTTTCTGTGAGTGAATTGTTTTACAGACTTGACTTCAGAGCGAAGATGTGTCACGAGGAGGAAGTAACGTGCAGAAACAGTCCAGATGAAATGATTGTCCCTCGCTCTGCATATACGCAGACTCTAGAAGGTCATCAACCCAACTATGGAAATGTGAATCCCACTATCTTCACTCTCTTTTATTGCTGCTGCCCTCTGGTCCCCCTCGTCTCCATTCCCTGATTCATCGCATATTGTGAGCCAAAAGAAAGGTCAGCGCAAACTCTATAAAGCCTTTGCTGAATGGGTGCTACAAATGCAGAACGTGTGTGAATGTGATGCTCTATTAGAGGGAAATAATACACAATATCCTGTGGCACTTTGATTTTAGACAATTTCCTAAATCCCATAGAGGTCAGTGTTAGACATCCTTTGTTTTATTTTTGCGCAGTAACTTTATTGTCCCGCTCGTATGAGTCAAATCAGTGGCAATGCATTCCATTTAGTACTTTGATGAAACAAGTGGGGCAAACTAAGCTAACTCATTTGATCTTAACAAAGCTAGCTAGCTGCTAGCCAGCAAATAAACATCCATTGATGCTAATGATGTGATGATGCTGGTAGCAAAAAGATTAGTGTTGAATGAATTCTCTCTTTTTAGCTACATAGCACAATCTTAAAGGAAAGAGCTGCCTCTGACAGGCTGAATCTACAGCACGGTGGACCGGTCTCTGCTGGAGGATCTGTGTCTGTCCACGGTGGACCGGTCTCTGCTGGAGGATCTGTGTCTGTCCACGGTGGACCGGTCTCTGCTGGAGGATCTGGGTCTGTCCACG